TTGATTTTGCCAGAAAATGTGAAATATTTTTACTTCCTGAGCGTAAGCAAAGGAATATTGTAATGGAGTCCGTCGGTTGTTCTCTACTTTTACGTTTTCTCGACCTTTAGTGACCCCTAGAGTACGAAGAAATAGGTCTCCTGTTTCCGCCTCTCTGTCCGTCTGTCTGTCTGTCTGTCCGTCTGTCTGTCCGTCTGTCTGTCCGTCTGTCTGTCCGTCTGTCTGTCCGTCTGTCTGTCCGTCTATCTAGCGTCTCGGATTTTTTATCTTATATTTGAGGCGGCAATTATTTTATTTTCCTTCCAGAGCATAGGCTAAGGAAGTAGGTATTTGTAATAAGGTTTATTTGGTGAACGGTTGCTTTCATGTTTTCTCCACGATTTATGACTCGTTTCCGTCTGTCTGTCGTTTGTTGTCTGCCGTCTATCTTGTCGTCGGAGTCGATCCTGTATGTATTATGGGAATATCGTGCAGATGGTAAAACGCTAACTAAAATTTGTCTAGTCAACTTCACTAACACATCTTTCAGCGACAATAAAAATGAATATGACATTAAATTTCTCAGAATTGTCTAACCGCAATTTACGAAAATGTTTTCCAGTAGCATGACGTAATTAATATATTTTTTTAATAGTAAATAGAGGTCTGAACGATTTAAAAAGTGAAAATTAGTATCTTTAATTTCAGAGAAATGAAACACTACGTTAAATTTATGATGTTCTACAAAAAAATATATTTTTTGTACTGTGGTAGTTTTGAAATAACTTTTACAGAATAGTTCAACTCAACTTTTTAATATTTGTCACCGCTAATTTATTTGAAGGTTAGCAGTGCAAAAAAAAAACTAGTTTCCTTAAAGATATAGCTTTCAGCGAAATTTTTGTTTACAACTTCAGACTTTTCGCTAAAAAAAGCGTACTTGTCCAACACATCGAGAATTAAAACATGAAGTTGTTGCTACGCCACTGCCACTGCACTGCCCAGTTCCTCTCACCTGATATCAATAGCCTGTCATTAACAAATCAATTAAACTTAATGAACATCATCTCAACCTATAAATAAGAATACTATCCAGGTTCGGAATGCGGTACTGTAGTCGCTTTTTCTCTCATTTTCACCAGAGGAAGATTTTCTTCTCCATACGGTTTTATAATCATGAAGTAATTCCTGCATCATGTTATCAAGATCAATTAACCATGCAACGCATGTAAAATCGCGAAATAGACTAAAACCAAGCTACATTAGTTTTTTTATTTTATTTTACATTTATTTTATTTAGATCAGACAGCGAAAGTGTTTCTGATTCCCTTCACTGAGTGACTGGACCGCTCTTTGTGTAATTTGCACCAAGCGAGGAAGAATATACCTTATGTGACAATCAACTACTGTTGCGGTCCCGTTCAAAGTCGATTGTGAGGTCCTCTATTGCACAACGTGACCGATTAAACTAATTTTTTTGGATAAATTAGAATGATTGGAATTTATCGAGATTTGTTGCAGATAATCAAGAATTTTAACGAACAGATTCTGTTTTATATAGTAATGAAACGGATGTCAACTGTTGCTTTGTGGGGAAATCATAATGTATTTTTAAACTGTTTATAATGATGAACATTTTTGAAACTTTTATACAAAGTTTGACTTTCAGTATCATCAAAACATTATTATATAAAATTTAAGAAAAGAAAAATTCTCACTTTGTAAGTAAGTAGGAAAGAAGGGTGTTATGTTCTTATCAATTGTTTTATAGTTTACCAAAAATTCTTACTAAATTGCTAAAAATTGGAAGCGTTACGTGGGGAAATCAATTTTACTTAATACCTAAGAATAAAACGATTATTTTATAGTCGCTGCTGCATTAGTTTAAGTGGATGAAGCTATTTATTATGGACACCTCTGGCTGTTTACGATAAACTTCTTGATATTATGCAATATATTTAAATTAGAGGACCCGGGTGGGTTAGGTAGCATCGCGCCTGCCTGCCACACCTTGGGTCGTGGGTTCGATTCCCGCCCTGTTCTGGGTCTTGTGTATGTCCCCCGTTACCCTGTAATTGGGCCTCCGGCCTGTTGGGTAACGTTAATCAATAAAAAAAAAAAAATTATAAAAACGTTATTCTATTTTTGATATCTATGCATTTTATCTAAACATTTCTGAGTGGGAAGTTCCTTTAGCGTCAAATTAAATTAAATCTGGTCTTATTTAGATCAACATTTTATTTTAAAATGTGCATGGGTTTCAATGAAAACCCGCATAATACGAGTATTGTTTTGTAATAAAAAAAATTAAAACTCCTTACAAACGCGAAGAAAGTAAAGAAAGATAGGTAGGTGCTGAAGTCGGTTTTTTAATACATTGAATTAAATAGAAAACATAGCTGATTGGTAATTTTAATATATTAATTATCATAATAGGTGAAACTTTTGATTTCCCAATCCATTCAGTGTAAAAAATGATTTTCTTATCTTTGTTGATTTGCTATCTCTGAGTAATATAATATGGTAAAAATTTTGTACACCCCGCGTCTTGCTTATCTGACTTTTTTTATCCAAGCCACAATTATAAGATCCGTCCATAGGCTATTCTCATGTTTTCTCAATCTTTCATTCCTCCTAGAGTATGAAAAAATAAATCTCTGGACAATAGCACTGATGAAAGTAAAACGCTAACCAAAATTTGCGTGATCATCCTCACCAAAAATTTGATGGCGTTACTTCAAAATTTTACACAGTAAATTTTCTTTAAATTTTAACATTTAATTAATTTAATTAATAACATACCCTTGCATTTGTGCTTTATGAATTGACTTTTTAACTTGGGCTTTCAGATTTTCACAATAAAAGTCAAAATTTTAATATATAACAAATTTTCATACTAATGCATACATATAAGAGGGAAGCAATAGTTACGGGTCCAACCAAACTGCGGCTTCTATCCTCACATGAGGCACTTTATTTTTTCTTACACTGTGATTGATATAATTTTTTTTTTAGAAAATACTGGATTTGTTTGTGCTTCAGGGGTGAATGATAATAACCTATCATCATTTTCTTTTTTAATCAAGGAGTTATTTCGATTTTTGGAAAAAAAAAACAAAATGATATTTTATAAAATGCAAAACCAGGTGTTCTGAAATTTTTGAGAGGCTTTAATGTTTAAGGTTAACTTAACCAAAATTTGTCTAGCCACTTCAACCAAAATTTTGATCACCTTGAAATTTGCTAATGTAATTCCTGTGTTTACAGCAGTTATACAATATGTATTTATACATGTGTTACAATTAATCCATCCAAATTATTTATTTCATGTTTGGGTGTTATCACAAAAAAAAATGGCAAAATCAGCTTTCATAATTTATCGAAAACAGTGGACTTGTTTATTTGTGCCACAAATGTGAGGGAAGTTGCCTCTAAATAACTTTAGACTAGTTTTTATATTCCATGAATTTTGAGCCGCTAAAAAAACATGAAATTAAGCAATGGTGAAATTATATTATTACAATATTTCTCCTAGTTATTACTTTGAAAACAGCCATGTAAGGGTGTGCATGAAAAGGAGTTGGCGTCGTTAGTACTGTTTATTTTTCTAGTCTATGTACCATATGCCATACTTTTAACTAAACTTTTATATCATAAAGAGGAAAAAATGTTGTTTGTACACGTAAAATACATTCAAAAATATGTCGTAATTTGGAAGTTTAAATTTTTGGAAAGAATAATATCACTGTTTCTAGAACTAAATATTGGTCAATATTTATACATAATGACCACTCTGTAGCAAGTTTGTTGATAATGAAGGCTCATTAGAATCCTGAAGTCGCGTTTTTGTTTTGTCACGGTTGTTAATTTTTTAGCTGCAACTTTGTGAAACTGGTGCATAAATAAACGCGGATATCACGCAATAAAGTTTACCACAAAAACTATGCGTGGAATTTCTTCTGATAAAAAGTACATCTTGTAGAGAACATAACTAAGTATATATAACATACGCGTTCCTGTTATTACAGTACTACTATTTCAGATCATGAGCTGCAAGTGTATAGCAGAGAGAAATATTAAAAAAAATACCACTTTCAGGATGATACTTATATTTTTAAGGGAAACGTGGCTTAAACACGTTTTGCTTACTGTGACGATTAATAAGATTTTGCAAAGTTACAACAAACGAAAATGTTACAAATACTGAATATTTTTGTGTTGGTGAGTAGAACGCTGTAATAAATTTAATAATAATAATTAAACAGTTATTAATAATGTGTATGATAAATAAAAATGTTGTTTAATTTTGTACGAATAAAAACTTAAACAAAAATTTAAAAATATCTAGATAAATGATCAAAAATTTTAGACCCCAGACTTGGCGATAATAAAACAGTCGTTAGATTTTGGTTTCTGAGTGGGGCCAACGACGTTTAAAAATGATGCACATGCTCAAATTTCGTCATCTATTGCACTGTCACTCACCAAAATCAATACCTGCAATAAAACTGTGTGAAAGTCACTTTGAAAGTAAAAAGATACCAAAAAAACGTTTCGAAATAATCTTCCTTCACGTTATTTTGATAAAATAATATCCTGCACCCAAGAAATCCAACGACCTTCTAATTCTTTGTTACAAACCCGTGACTGAAATGTGAAGCAAGTTCAAGAGACTGAGTGATTATTAAGAGATTGTACTGTAACTGTCCGTGTATAATTACTTTCACGTTCATGTTTCCATCATTATCTGCCATCTTGGGTTCAAGTTCATTTAACAAGGATAGCAGAACGTGTTTCAGTAGAGAAGGTAAATCTTTGTTGTATTAAGCATGCAAAAAGAAAGGCCGAATGTATAATTTTCAATGAGTAACAAAATTTCGCATTCACTCTGTAAACCGCAGCGGCCGTTAATTGAAATGAGACAGCAAATTCGACGTTTTTACTAATTCGCTGATCGTGAACTTCGAAGAAAGTGAAATGGAAGGAATTTTAGAATAGTTGAGGAGACTCCGGATATCGTAATTTTGTTCCGTATATAAATAGTAACACTTGACGGTTTCTTCCAGTTAATAACATTCATTGAAGACAGGTGTATTATTATGAATCCTTTTGTAAGTAGGAATTTTTGCTTTGAAGCTTAACGTGCAGCTAGCGGTTATGTAAACATCATTTACTGACTTATCTATTATCAATTATCATTGTTTCAGGCTGTTATTTTTGCAATCTGCTGTTTGGCAAGTGCACGAGCACGACCTACTTATGGTCACGGTGGTACCTCGCAGCTCGAAGGAGTACCCAACGACTCTCATTACGGAAAATTGACCTACCCTCACTATGATATCTTGGAATTGGGTAGTGAGATCAAGGGCAGCCTGCCACCAGCAGTTGTAGAAATCACCAAAAAGGTCGTCATTAAAGAACCGAAACCGTACCCCGTCAAAGTACCAGTTCCTGTACCTCACCCAGTTGAAGTCGCTAAACCATATCCCGTCGTCGAAACGAAAATCATAAAAGTGCCACACCCAGTACCAGTCGAAGTGATCAAGAAAATCCCAGTACCCTTCGAAGTACCCAAACCCTTCCCCGTACCCAGCGAAGAGTTCAAAGCACCCCATTTACAAGCGCCCGTATCTTCGTACGGGGGCAGTTTCTCTGGACACGACCAGTTCGGACATCAGCAAGCCGCTGAAGTTCATGAAGAAAGCCAAGACGGAGGCGGCTATAGCGGCGGTTACGATGGCGGTTACGGAGGTGGTTACGAAGGTGGTTCCGACGGTGGTTCCGACGGTGGTTATGGAGGAGGGTTTGAAGGGGGTGACAATGGAGGTAGTTACGCCTCCGCCGATCAATCTCAATCCTATGGATCGCACGTACAACCTGAGCAATATGGATGGGTTCCTGTTCAAATGATACATGATGCTGGGGAAGCGCAGCAGATTGAAGAACATCAACAATAGGGTGTCGTGATAAACCAAAAATTTTTTGTTTTTTTTTGTTGTTTGTTGTGTTGTGTTTGTTGAGTTTTGTTAATAAATTTTTTTATAATAATTATTGGAGTCTGAAACTTCGCTAAGTGAGAGAAAAGTAGAAAGGCATTTCTTGTTTTTTGTCTTATTTTTTATCGAAATAGTAGGTTATCAATGACATTGCGTGAAAGTGGACAATTACTTCAGGTCTTAGGATATTGATCTGAAAGACGCTAGAAGCGTTTAATCTAAATTACAAATTTTAATTTTTATTATTGGGAAAATCAGTAATTAGATGTTAATGTCAGTGATCGGTTGATTGCAAAAACATACCGTTTTAAAAATGGTAAAATGTCATTTACATATGCATACATTATATTGAAACTAAAAATTTATATAGAACACGCAGATATGTTAAACATTAATAACAGTAAGTTGATATGTGTCGTACTATTACAGGAACCTTAGATTCCAAATTAATATAACAAAAAGGTTAGCCCACTTTAATAAACAGTTCTGACGACAGGAGAACCTTTCCTTTTTATAAATTATTATCTTTGGAAAGTACTGTAGGATCGGTCCATTTTGCAAAAAACTAATTTCATGTTTTTCCACTTTTCGTATGTTTTAGAGTATAAAAAAGTAGGTCGCCTCTTTCTATCTGTCCTGCGTTGGCGATTTTATTCGACGAATAATCTCTGAAACCACTGATATTGTTGTGAGATTTTAAAAGTATTCTAGGGGTATTAGTAAGCAGAATTGTAGATGGTAAAATGAGAACCGAAATTGGTCCGATCATCCACACCCACAAATTGATGACGTTATCTCGTCTGCAAATTTTCATTTTATGTAGTAGTATGCTATTAATGTGTACTTTGTTATTTTCCAGGAATGAGCAGTTTCTGATCTTTTTATTGATTTAATATTTCACTTTCCGTCGTTAAAGTATTCTATTACTGCTAGCTTAGCTCCTTTAATTTAAATCAGGAACTGGAAAACTGAATGTTTTGAAATGTTGCACACGTTTTAAAGTTATCGTAAGCACAGTAAATTCTTTTTCAAAATATATCTGTTTATCCCCCTCAAAAAAATTGATGACGTCATCTCAAAATTTTACTGAATAAATCCTACCTAGAATGTGCAAAATATGATAATTATCAATCATATTATGAATTATCATAATTTTTAGAATTGCTTATACGGTCTCTCAAAAAATGAGTAAATTTATTTTATTGATTAAATCAGGATTGACTCACTCCATTTTCCCAATAATTTGGGAATACAACACCGTTATTATTAGTATTACGCTGTACCCATCCAAATTGATGTACATGTCTTTGTAAAAATGTTATGACATCATCGCATAATTTTGTAAAAGTAACTTATTTGAAATACACGCATAGCTTATTTACATTTTCTAAAAATTATAAAATTTGATTTTGCAAATTTTATATTTTATGAGAACCCCTAAAAGTTGAAATAAACATATACAAATCTGTAATCCTAAATTAAATGTAAAGCAGCATGCTATGCATATGTTTCAAATAGGTTTTTACGTTACAAAATTTTCTGATGAGGTTAATCATCATTTTTGCAAGAACACGCATTTCAACTTCGGTTGGTGTAGTAATACCTACTAATAATAACGTATTATATTATATATAAACAACGACGTTGACAGCCCCGTAAACACTTAGCAATTTGACGTTTCCGTCAATTTTAAGGTTACCATGACAACAAAAAACAAAAAGCACCTAGTGAATGTACGAAAGTCATCAAAAAAGGTCGTGAGTGCAAAACATATATTTACAGCGCATTATCAACGGGAGTAAAACTGAGTAATATGCGTAGTATTAAAAATGTTAACGTTTATACATTGGAAGAATGTCACGTAGACATTTGTTTGATTGGAATGAGTTTATCGCCTTCAAACAGATGAATAAAATTATTCATAAGCCTCAATTGAGCAAAATATTCGGAATTATATTATTATAATTCTTATCATATCATTCTTTTATTGTTATATATAAAGACCAGCGTAATCTCACATTTTCGAGAAAATGTGGTGGCTCGTTCTTAATCTGATCAATAATAAATTGACTGATTCATTAATTTTGTTGAATCACCCTGTATAAGCAAATCTAAAAAATATGAATGCAGTGACAAGTTACAAGTATAGTCTGATCATATTTAACACATTTTCGAAAGAATTTATTCGGCAAAATTTTGAGATGACGTAATTAATTTTATGGGGTTGATAAACACAGACATTTTGATTAAAAATTTACCCAGCTCACAATAACTTCAAAACGTCAAGATTTCAAAGTATTCAGTTTTGCAATTGAGTCATTATTTTTTTTTTGCATAAGTAAATCGAAAAAATATGAATGCAGTCATAAATCGCAAGTGTAGACTCAGCACATTTAAGATAGGATTTATTCAGCAAAATTTTGGGGTGACGTCATCAATTTTTTGGAGGGGATAACTAAATATATTGTGATTAAAATTTTACCATGCTTATCATAACTATAAACCATCTGCAAGATTTCAAAGCATTCGGTTTTGTAGATTCTAAATTAAATGTCAAAATGTTGTTTCCTAATTTTGATTTTTTTCCCAAAAATCTGGACGTTTAGGGTAAAATCTTAACTCGGAGTCATAAACTACATGTGTAAGACTATGTAATTTGATACAATTTACAACCCAATTACTATGTACAATTTTGAAGTGACGTCATCATATTAGTTATTACACTAATTTTGGTTAGCGTTTTACCATCTACATGATATTCCTAATATACGAGGATGGTCTGAGAAATTCTCGGCCTCAGTCATAAAAAATGAATCACCTTGAATTTTTTTTCTCAAGTAGGCACATGCTTACGTTGACAATTGCTAAAGATTCTGTCAAAAACTTTTCTTGGAATCGATTTTTGAATCCTACGTGTTGTGGAGATTTCCTTGACGGACTCGATTACAATACTTCCTTTGCTTACGCTCGGGAAGTAATAAAACGTCAATTCAAGTTTTGCAATTTAATTTTCAATCTGCAAAACCGAACGCTTTGAAGCAGATAGTTTATAGTTATGATAAGCATGATAAATTTGTAATCAAAATATATTTACTTATCCCCTCCAAAAAAGTGATGACGTCAGCTCAAAAGTTAGCGAATAAATCCTGTCTAAAATGTACAAAATATGATGAGTTTGTACTTGTGGTTCATCATTCCATTCATATTTTCTGGATTTGCAGATACAGGGTGACTCAAAAAAATTAATGAATGCGTGAATTTATTTTATTGACTTAATCAGGATCCGCAAAACCGAATGCTTTGAAGTCTTGGAGACGTTTTAAATTTATAAGCATGGTAAAATTTTGATCAAAATGTATTTGCTCATCCCCCTAAAAATTTGATGACGCCGCCGCAAAATTTTGCTGAAAAGATGCTATCTTAAATGTGTAAAGAATGATGAGTCTATACTTGTGATTTATCACTGCCATAATATTTTTTAGATTTAGTTATACGGCGTGTTTGAAAAATAATTAATGACTGAGTCAATTAATTTTATTGATTAAATCAAGAATTGCAAAACTGAATACTTTGAAATCTTGCAGACGTATTTGTCTTAAATTACAAGTACTATACTTAATTTGAAAAAATTAATACACATTTTATTTTAAAATACTCTGCTACAAAAATGTAATACGAAAAAAACAAAATAGGCATGCAGTCGTCACGTTTCCGACAGCGAGGGAAGTACTGTCTAAACTCTTTAGACCAATTTTTTTTCTGTTCTCATGATCACTTTTGATGATAATATAAATCTAAAAATGAACTGCAACTTAAGTAAGAACTTCAGAGGAAGTAAAAATAGACCTGGGTGTGCAAAAGTACATTTTCTGTATATTATTAGCCAACAATATTCCTTATAAGTTTATAACAAGGAGAAGTCGTGGCATCGATTTCGTGTTTTATTATGCTCTCCGACAACAAATCTATATTAATAAAAATGAATCGCCGAAATGTATGTACGCCCATAACTTCAGAACGGCCGCACCGAATCGGACGATTCTTTTTTTTACGTGTTCCTTATAGTCAGGAGAAGGTTTATATGTAAGACTATTTATAAAAAATGGGACGGCTAAAAGATAAAAAAAAAATTAAAATTTTGCACGGGAATCGTCCCTTGGAATGAATTTGAATAGTTGGCCATTCCTGACGGACCTGTCGCCTGACTGACGTGTCACATAAAACTATTTCTTCCGTGCGATTGTGAAAAGTATTATTGCATTTCAAGTCGTTGTTTGTTTTTTCGTAACAATAAACGTCGTTTATTTCAAGAAAAGTGTTCGTTAAAGTGAATTCAGTTAAGCATTGCGAAAGTTTCTTATTAATTTTGATCTGCCATTCTATTTACCTATGTTCACTTTGTTGGTTTCGACAAAACCTCAAACTTTACCGTTATTCGAGGATTTGATTTGAAGTTTTCAGTATTTTAAAATTCTCAAGACAAAATTTACAGATTAAGTTTATTACAATGCCGAGAAGACGACAAGCTGACATAGGTCCACGAAGTCAATGAAATGTGCGACGAACTACCTCAGGTACAAATCGCAATGATTTATTTCATGGGTAATTCGGATACGGAAGTTGATCAGCGTCGTGCTCATAATCAACTTAATCAAACATTGAAGCGAGACATTGGGTGGTATGAATAAAAGTGAGTAGATACTCATATTCGAAGTACGAAGTACCTAGAAAGAGTAATAATCTTATATACCTGAGCATCTACTCTATGTACTGAGTACCTACTTGGAAACATTGTATCTCCCCGGACACAAATTGAACATCTACGCGTTTTGTGAGCATTTAATCTAAAAATGAGCATCGGCGTGGCAAATAACTGAGCTGTCTGTAAAGCAGCTTAGAAAACGAGTAGGATCGTTGTAAGAGTGAGTTTTGACTAAATATGGGGACTTTCATGAACGTGGAACGTCCCCAAAAAGTGCATTCAGTTTGAAGAATACGTTAGGAGCGGGATAATCGAAAACTTTTCAGGTAATTAACTTTTATTTATGTATA